ATCCGTAAGACTTGAAAAAATCCACGAGATTGCTCTATATGTCCGTATACCTGCAAAATGACTTCTGAAATGAAATCTTTATGAATCAATTGGGTTGTTACCGACATCTGGTGAAAATTTCATGTCATTAGCACCTCTAGTAATATATTTACTGAGAAAAATGGTGACGTGTTTAATACTTATTTTACCCGCTGTATTATGTTGAAGAAATATATTGGGGTTCTGTTGAGTTACTGATATTTTTTTAAAACAACACTTACTATATTTTTTTCTTAGGCGAATAATGGTTTATTTTTTATAAACGTGTGATTATTTTTTGGGATTAATATGATGATTTTATGTACAGACTGGTCTGAATGGCTAGACGCTGTGGTCACTCAGACCAGGAAGTACATTTAGTTAGATACATGCCTGAAAACACAACACACATAAAATATAGATTGATACACGAGCTGGAAAGAATTGTGTGAGGATTTGACCCCGGAAAAGGAAGTGTTCCCCTCAGTGATGTTATGGTAGTAGGTGGGGTCAGGGCTCAAAGAAGTTGTTAAAAGTGAAGGCGTTTCCTGCCTCGAGGCCGACCGCAGAATTGCCTTAAATTCAAAAATTCAAATACTGGTGAAATTTCTATTTAGTTGTGAACACGTAATGAAGTGACTGAACAAATTATCTTTCAATAATATACAAATCTCACTTACTGAATAGAATTACTGAAATAGATAAACTTTTTCATGATATTCTAATTTTATGACCAGCACATGTATGTGTAAGTTAAAATATACACCCCCTCAAAACTCATGGTAACAAAACTGGCAACGGTAGTGAATACGGTTATAAACTACAGTAGAGCAACAATGTTTAGTCTCAGACATGAGTAACTTTTTTCCTTATTTTCCTCACAACCTTTTGAGCAACGTAGAAAACCAGATCAAATGTTAGTCTTGGTAAGATGTCTGCAGACCACCAGGGAGTTTATTACTCGCAGTTTATTGATGCAGTTTGTGTGGATGGGTCTTTTTTTTACCTCCTTCTGCAAGGTCCTGCAGAGGCCAAAGCAGGGTGTAAGCCAGCTGGCCTGGGATGTGAAAGAAGGGAACCATGTTGCAGCTGGGCCGGTCCGAGTGCTGTACTTGGGAACCAAACTCATCCATGATGTACCACACAGGAACTCTTTCTTCTGCTGACTACACAGAAATCATTTTATCATAATATGGCAAAAACCTAAACACAGTTATAAAATACACAAATCTGTAAACTTACCTCTCACTCTGCTACCAGACTGATGGCAAAGTATTAATTAATTCAAGTCCTAGTATTTCTTAAAGGGATCCCCGATCAGTTGTAACATTAGACTTTATTTGATGAACATATATTTTAACTGTAAAATAAAGACTGTAAAAATACTGTAGGCTGTTTAGTTTTTATTATTTTTAAACTAAAAGTTAAAAAATATATTGCACGGACAGGGCCTTTTTTTTTTTTTACATGCAAAGCATTCTGGGTAAATGATGACATGGATAGGTCCTCGGTGCAAGGCTGCTAGTGAGCTATATCCACCCTGAAGGTTAATCTTGGACAATATCTGATGGTCGACTCTTTTAAATGAAACCAGAGAGCGTTGACAGAGAGGAGAAGGTAGAAATGACTCAGCCTGTAACTGAAAATACGGATGGAGGACAACAGAGCTGCTTCATGGAAGAAGAACCTCAGCTTAGCCTGTTAGCCCTCGTGCTAGCACCGACATTATATTACCTTATATGTATTAGCTCTGTGCTAGCACGACAAACTAACAAGGTATACTGAGGTCCCCCATCTACAG